TTTAAAATTAAATAATTTAAAAAGTTATTTATATGAGTAAATATTTATTTTATATAAAAAGATATTTACAATACATTGATTTTATTTTTATCAAGGATATAATCCCTCTTAATTAACCATTAATCAAAATATATTAGTTTTAAGGACCTTAATCACTGTTTTATGTCAACCATACAATGTTGATGAAATTTTAAACTATTTTGAATAATTGCAATATTAGACCCAAAACGACACTAAAAATATAATAATTTGAAAAATAAATGAGATAATTATAAAAGGCTTGAAAATATAATCATTTTACCAAAAAAATAGTATTTCAAATTTTTTAGGTTATTTTAATATTTTTAAAATGGTGTAATTAAATAAAATAAAATAAAAGAATTAATATCGTGCAAATCACTGAGTCATAGTTATTTACAAAAAAAAAATCATCCTTATATATATTTTGTAATAAATAAATTTATCGAATTTTTAAAAATTGGTTACTTGGATTATTTCAACTCAAACAAATGTTACATATTATAGTTTGCTTACCTCACATATTAAATAAGTGGGAAAACGCTTTTTAAGTTATGGTTTTCCTGATTTTAATCTATCCAGATAGTTGTTGAATAAATCTTTTTATAATACGTAAGGATTTAATTATAATAATATTATATTCAATTTAATATGTAGTTTGGTAATATATAAAAAATTATTATTTTTAATAAATAACTATTAAAAATTACGTTTTTAAGGATCGTTATTATATATATATATATATATATATATTAATATTAAGGTCTTATTGTAATTATTTTAAAAAACTTAGAATAGTTTAAACGAAACAATTAATTTTTTATGTTTAATTAGTTATTTTAATTGATGAGATATTTATAGAAACCATTTGTATTAAAATTTAAATAAGGAAAAAGTTCAAAAAATTAAAGAAATTGTTATATTTTGAATTAGTAAGTTTTTGAACTTTTTTTTATTGAATACGTTGTTAAACTCTTTTTATGTTTAATGATTAAGTCGTTGTATTTTTTTAATAATTAAATAATTGAGCTTTTTAAAAGACTGGTTACTTGAATTATTTTAACCTTTTTAAAATTGTATAATTTAGAAGGTATAATTATAAAATGACTTGAAAAATGTAATCACTTTTACATAAAGTAGTATTTCAAATTTCTTGAGCTATTTTAATATTTTTAAAATGATGTAATTAAAAGATTGCGAAGAAAATAAAATAAAATAAAATAGTTAATATCGTGCAAATCACTGAGTCATAGTTATTTACAAAAAAAAAAATCATCCTTACATATATTTTGTAATAAATAAATCATCAAACTTTTAAAAATTGTTACTTGAATCATTTGATCATTTCAACCGAAAAATGCTACATATCATGACTTGTTTGCTTTACAGATCAAATAAGTAGAAAAACGATTTTTAAGTCACGGTTTCCCTGATTTTTAATCTATCTAGATAGTAGTTAAATTAAATAAATCTTTTTATAATACGTAAAGATCTAATAATAATAATAATAATATATTGAATTTATATATAATTTGGTAATATAATTTTTTTTTTTTAAT